GCTTTAGAATCCGCAAAAAAAAAACACGGTTATACACAAAAAAAAGGTACTAAACAAACCCCTTTCGGCAATTGTAGTTTGCATTTTTTACATCCGGCCACTCTTTTTGCATAGTCGATAGCAAATCGAGTGCTTGAAGTGGACATCTTTGAAACTTCTGAACAAGAAGCTAATCAAAGTGTATCACGACGTAACAGCGCAGACGATTTAGCAATGCCTTCGAGAATTAACGATGTCCTGTATAGTTGGAAAGCATTATCGATCATAATGTAACATCCTTCAGTGGAAGGAAATGCTAGGCAAAATCGCTCTCGTTTAATCGTAGTTTCGACCTCTCTTGCATTCTGATGATACGATAAATCCAGTGAAATTAGGGACTCTTTTTAGTCAGGCCCTTCCTACTGATAAAGAGAAACGTAAAAAGGAAGGCCTTATGTTAGAAAATAGTGAAGATATAAATTGCCTAAGCAGAATCACCTTCACCCATAATAAAGAAAAATGAAATCGGTTCGATGATAAAGTTAAACAACAGAAGCGACTAAGTACTACAACCATCTCGTAGAAAGAAAGCAAATTTTGAAGCACTTTTCAACTGAACACAAGTATCCTACCCCATCAAAATATTAACAGCAGCTTTCTACGATAAGAAAGCAGAAAAATCATACTCCATGGTAAAGATTATTCGGCGCGGAAGAAAATGGAAATCAAAATGCAACTACTGCGCTACCATTCTAGAGTAAAAGTAGAGAAAGTTTCAACAAAGATTGGGCCGCTGTTCATGTTCACAAACATCTACAACTGTAGATAGGTTAGTATACAATTCGAAGACCATTCTTAAGTTGAAGGTTCAGCTCTAGAAAGTAATAGAGAAAGTAGAAAAGCTGGGCCTTGACTTCATCAAATGGCTTCGAGTGTCAGAAGGCATCCAAATCATATGTGGGATTGGATCGGCCATTACCAACCAAGACAATTACAAACTGGAAATTCTTAAGTTCAAGGAAATTCCGTAGATTACCACTCACTTTTAGAGAATTCCCTAGCGAGCGAACAAGAAACAAACCATAAGAAAAATCCTCGGAAGGTGGAAATGAGAGCGATTACGTATGGATGGAGTGGGCGCAACTTCAAAGTAGAGCAGAAATGAACTTTCAGAAGTGCTCTTCTGATCAGAAAGTGATTGGAAAGCTGAGAAACTGCCAAATTTCCTCATAAATAGAAAAAAAACAAACATCAGTAAGTAGAAACATTAGTGAAGGAGCCTCCTTGATTACAGCGCACAGGAAACCAATTGAATGATTACACTACCTTTCCAATGAAGCAGTCATAAGAAACCGTAATTTGACCTATACTTTGTGATACTGTGCCAGTTACACTAACTCAACAATAAATCCGAGAATGATAATCATTTATTCACAGCATTTTCTTTCACTATGCCTGTCAATTCTACTCGTATCCGATTCAGGCACCGGGCGATATGCCGTGTATATAACAATTAATACCTACCATTCCTTAAAAAGTTATAGATGATACAATAAACAATCTATTTCATAGCTATATATTCTACATATCCACATCACAAAAATGCTTTGAGCATTTCTAGCGAGTACTGAAGCTCGGCAATTGTGTAAATACTTATTCAAAGATCGAATTCACCGCTGAAGAGAAGTAGTATGACTAGTAAAAAGGCACCGTTTCGGCACTCAGGGTAATCAAAGTGATCCAGTACTGTTAGTAGAGTGAGCAAAAAAAGTTAGTACGATCAATAGGTAGTTAGACATTCAAAAATGTTCTAATCATGAGCTCGGAAGCATGACCAGGAGTAATCTTTCCATCATGAACATCTTTTTCAAGAACTGGAGCCATTGGGGCAATTTTAGGATGTCCTGTGAACACCTTTAGCAATTCATCCTGTACGTGATTCCACATCCATCTCGACATCTGATCAGAACGTCGTTTCTCCAAATCACCAGATTTCATGATGGTGTCCCAATACTCATACATGGTGTTGGCAATTGCCTCTATTGACTTCGGATCCATTACAGAAGAACGAAGCACCTTAAAAAAGTAAAACGAATAAACTTTTATATCCATCAAACAGTAATGCTTGACTGCAATTTTAGTTCGGAAAGCTTAAGGGTGTGATAAAAAATAGTAGCTGATTCAAACCATTAATAGTTCGTTAAATAAAAAGTAGGTAGAAAACTCTGCTTCTCGGAAGCGTGTGATTTCCAGGAATTCCTTTATACACAAAGGATCGAGGATAAACAAGTTTTCATGGAGTTCATTCGCCTCGTTTTTCAATTCGCTGAGACCAATTTGGGAGACTTAAATAAAACCCGAAATGACTGCAGCTCACCTTTGGCTTCCACACAGGAACCCGCGGTCGTAAGTATTTCAGTGCCGATATGTACTCGGCTTGTGTTAACTTCGCCTTAGCTCGGAGATCTCCATCGTCCTTCGTAACGACGAGTAGGTCACTGAGTTCCATTATTCCACGTTTCACACCCTGAAGGGCGAAAGAGCAATTTAGCAATAACATAACTGATCCTTTCAGCCTCCATATTATCACCTCTCCTTCCTTCATCCCTGCTGACTGCTGATATCTCCCGTCCCTATCTATTGGCCCTACACTGCTTCAAGTCAAGGTACCATTCGTTGTCAATAGCTCAACTGAAAACACAAAAAGTACACCTGTAGTTCGTCTCCATGAGCTGGTGAGAGCAATAAGCAGAATATATCACACATATCGACCACTGAGACCTCTGACTGCCCAACACCTGCAAATCATTGCAATCCTACGAGTTACAAGGAAAAGTCACTCGAGGAGAATGACTTAAACAGTCACCTACCGACAGTTTCAATAATAACTGCATCGTAACCGGCTCCTTCGCATAAAATAATCGCCTCATGTATTCCCCTTGTCACACCTCCCAGCGATCCTGAAAAAAAAAGAGAAGGGCCTGATTCTTTTGCTTGGTCTATCATCTTAGAAATTACTGCTCACCACTGGTTGGTGACTGTCTGATGTAGGCTTTGGGCATTCGTGACAACTCTTGCATTCGCGTTAAATCACCAAGTAATGATCCTACAAACAAGCGTTATCACGAGTGAATGATTATTTTCATTACTTAAGTAACCCATACAGAAACAGCAAATACCTCCAGTCACTGCACTGGAAGGATCGATTGTTAGAACTGCGATCTTCTTGCCGCGGTCGTTAATCAGATGTTTTCCCAGAGCCTCGATAAATGTAGATTTTCCTACTCCCGGACTGCCAGATATTCCTGTTATAGAAGAGTACATAAAATATGAGCGCATTATCACTAAGGTTCGAACAACTAGGCTCACTAGAACGAAAATTCAGTTCGGCACTCGGCTCTTACAGTAACTTCCTGGCTTACCCCACCAACCGTGCCGGATTACTGTAAGAGCCAAGCGCCGGACTGAATTTTTGTTCCTGTACTAAGCTCACCAATACGGTAGATCATCGCTTCCTTTCCCTTCTCCTGATAACGTTTTCGTTCTGCGGCAAGGATAGACTAGAAAAGGCCGTGTAATACGAAGTATATAATGATGATGATTGGTACATAAGACAAGCTTCCCAAATTGTTTAAAGAAGAACCTCAGTAATATGGCAAATCCCTGGCAAGTATCTTCAATGGCACGATTAAAACACATGGAAGCGCATCCCCATGGAAGTCCAGTAGTTATTTCGGAAGCAACTCGACGGTGGGCGCTACATGTGGAGGTCAGAGTTCCATGAAGAACAGGTTGCACATCAGATGTAGGTAGTGTCGAAGATTACGGAAATGATGGGAGTGGCACACTCTTTGAAATCAGGAAAGATTCAGAAACGGTTTTCACGAGCATCTACCGATTTCAGCGTCTCGAGCAACGGGTCAAAACAATACTGCTCATCCACTTCATTTAATATATCGAAATTTGCGAACTCTGTGTGATAATCTCGATCCACCTATCATTACAATGCTCTAATCACCGACACCGCCAAGATGAAGACTTTGCCAACAATGCTACTGATGAACCGGAAAAAATAGACTAGAATTGCTTGAGCATAACTCACATGAAGAAGCATGTTTCCCTGCGCTCGTTTCTTTGGATTTCTGGACTCCACCAAGGTAATCGCAGATGCTAAAGCTGCACGTGAACCAGCTAGGATCTGTTCTCGCAAGCGTACTACCTAAGAACAAGACTGGTCTCCAAGAAAGCGTGGCTAAGAACTTCGCCATACCAGTGGATCATCTTCAGTCACAGAATCGTCCCAGATATATTTAGCATAATCAGCTATTTGTATTTCAACCGGCGCTGTTTTCTTAACACCATATACCGGAGACTGAATGCGGCCAGCTACACTTGTTTTGCTGTAAAACACGGTAAACCACTCGTACACTTCGCCCCCAATATCAAAAATTGACAGAACAGTACCTTCTTTGCGTGGTTAGTAGGAGAGATGCAAGAGACGAACACTGTTTCGGCAGTCGGGGGAGGGTGCGGCAGAACATCTAAACCACCCTTCGGTATTTACCCAAAATGATAACAAGCGAGAAGTAAGATAGTCGGATTATCAACACCGTTCGATGATAAACAACGGAAAGGTATAAAGGATTTATTACATTGCGAAAAAAGAATCTTCAGTTCATTAAAGCAATTCTGTACAAGTATAGCGGTCTGGAAATAAGGTCATAATCTCGTACTGGTCAGCCGTTCTAACAATTGGCAATTGAGCGCTCGTTTTCAAAGCTCCAATATGCACCCAAAAAGCAAAACACCTCACGAAAATACGCATAATTCATCATATCCCAACTTAAATTTCAAGCAACTGGTCACTTGGGAAGCAGATCAAACACGGTGTAAATGAAATGTTCTAACGGTCGAATATTCTGGTATACACAGGCGGTAGCAAACGAACGAAATATAAATAGATCATTCAGCATGCAACGTCTTTAGATAGAGCAATTCCTCTGGTGTTCATCAGGAGCCGGTCCCAATCAATGGTCCTCTTAATAACTTCATCCTCCATCCACTTTCGATAATTATTTTTGAACCTGTAACATGAACTTCAGTATTCCTCTCTGTTCCTTTCAAAAAAAAAAGAGAGAAGGGAGCCTTTGAAAATACCTCTTTCCAAGCTCAGGTTGCTTTCCCAAAACGGAATGGAGGCAGTTATCCACCGGTTCAAATTCGCGAAGATTCACACGATTCAGATAGTCATCACCAGGCATTGGAGCATCGTTCACCTCTGAATTACGATAGTCATTCCAAAATCCCACGAAATGTCTGACAAAAAAATGTCGTTCTTTCAAAATATTTGCGAGAGGTGGCCAAAAGTTTGTGGATTCAAATGATTCATGTTCTATGGCGGAACCCTACTGAGATAATGGCTGATAAAAGGATGAAGGATAAAGTTTTTTGGCATTAATCAATCCCGTCTCAGGGATGCGCCCCCGCACTCGACTTCCATTCAGAATCGTAGTGGCCTAATGAGTGCGTATGTGGTCTATACAATGACATTGCGGTGGCAAGCCGATGTACAAGTCAGTGCTTTTAACCTCCCAGACAAGTCTGGTACCAATTAACCGACCCCGGAGGGATGGAAGGCCTGGTTGGCCTAGGCGGGCACCGATCGTGGGTTCGAACCCCTGACCGTGCAAGTGATATAGTGCGCCACTTGCTACTACACCACCTCCGCCCTTATAATGGCTGATACCAGATTAAATATGAAAATAGCGGGAGCAAGCAAAAAATCGCTTCTCACACACTGCCCAGAACGCATCCATGAAGGGATGCCAAGAAATTGGAGTGAATCCAAACCCAGCATCCCCCTCCTGTCACAACTCTATAAAGAGATAGCAAAAGTGTTACCCAAAAAAAAAACCCCTAAAATGGGCCACACACTGCGAAAACCTGAACTATTACTGAATTGTCGAAATTAAAACGTTGAAAAATAAAGATTTAGTGTAGTATTCATTTCAGCTCGGCCCCGTTCACCAAAACTTTATTTTTGTAAACCTAATGGCCTCTAGAAAATCCGTATGCCCTACGAGTACGTGAAATTTTCCGTGAAAGAAAGTGCTTGTCTTAAAACTTAGAGCACATTCGAAGTCAAGCGCTGGAGACCTTGGCAAGGGGATCGCTTCACTAGTGGTATGACTGAAATGGTGAGAGAGAGGTAGTGGGTGAAAAGGATCTATTTTTAACTATGAATGTGTCTGTATCCTATGTGGAGATACACGTCAGCTTCGAGGACGGAAAGTAACCCAGACTAGTTAACACATCACACATCGTTGGATCCGTTGGAATGGTAGGTTTCGAAATGAAATTTTTCAACTCAAAAAGAAAAAAAAAACGCAACTCGAGGAACAATGGTAAAGGAATTGATTGAACTTCAGTTGACTAATCAACCTTTGGTTGATTCAGATCGATATTCGTCAAAATTTTCAGATTTGCGTTTTGGTCAGAGAAACGGCAATTATCACACCAGTCAATGATTGTGATCGTTTTCGATACTGTAAGCCAGACCGTACCGCAAAGATAAAGATAAAGTTGGCGGACTTTTATAGATCAAATATTGATTCATTACAAGTCATCGGTTTCTGATCGGAGCACACAGGAGCGTGCGCGGACAAGACTCTCAAATAATAACAGTGAAAGTTCTTTTACTGGGTTAATTATTCGGAAATGGAGTACCATAGAACTCACCAATAGCAAGTTGCGGGTGGATCTTCGCATATCTTCGGCTATGAAAACGTTCCACCGCCGCTTTCAATTCGCTCTCTTCGCAGTGGTAATCGTAAGACTTCCGCATTTCGTTAGCGAATGCCCAGTCATCGGTCATACGATGTCGGACCTTGTTATAAATCGCTGACATTATATCCATATTACTTTTCCTCCACTGCCGACCAAGATATCGTGACTGCATTTTCAACGCTTTTAGAATGAAGAACTGGAACAACCCCTGAAAAGTAACCATAACAAAAATAAACAAACGAACAAATATACGCACTAGCAAACATTTTTAGATCAAACTTTTTCGTGTTTAACAGCAATACATGATACATGTGAATGAAAAGCATACCAGGCGAATCTTCAAAGAACGTTTCAGTATAGGCGCCGATTTGAACACCATTAACATCATCACACGAGACTGTTTTCCTTTGACTAGCTTATTAAGTACCCTGAACGGCACTCGGGTAAGTAGAATTACACAAAGAAAGCGCAAAATATGCGGAACTCACCTAATGAGATTTATTGACGAGAACATATTCCTCCACATATAATACATGCCTCTACGTTCACTTTCGTTACCTTCCACATTCTCCGAATTAAGGACAGGCCACTCATCTGAAAACATCATTGAAAACTCGGACACAAAAACACCCAGAGGTAGGTTCCAGAGAAACTCTTAATCAGCAAATACGTAAGGAATAAAAGTATGGCGTGAATGGCCATGACTAAATAAGCTCCCTTACAGCTCACTGAAATCACTTAAATGCGATAGCCAGTGTGAGCCTAACCAAATCCACTCACCTCGATTTCTAACGTAATGTAGTGGTGCTTGAGGATAGTTGTATGGATAAATTTCATAACGCGACTGCACATACCGCGTCATGTTTTGATCAAGGAACTTCAGAAGGAGAGGAATGCCGTTTCCATAGACCTGTAAATGAACTCTCAGATCAGAGCAAGGATCATGTCAAAGAGAGCTTTAGTATACTTACGATATGTTGACTTAAATATTCAAATTGATAGATATGATTTAATCGAAGGTGTTTCATGAGAAGTAACAGAATCGATGATGTCGCTTTTACCATGATCTGAAAAAACTTTTGAAGAGTTTGAATAGGCAGAGTTGAATATTTTTACCTCCTTATGTCTATTTATATCGATAGCCAGTCGAACGCTTTCCTCCAACGGGCTACTGGTCGAGTGATCAAGACTAATGGAATTCGATAAGATGTCACATCCATCTGTCTCAGGTGTTAAAACGTCGACCAGAATATTGAGCGCATCATTCTTCGCCTGAAAAAAAAAACAGGGCTCTCAATTTCTTGCCTCACAAAATACAAACAAAGGGTTCTTTCGAAATGAGCTGTGAGAGGACCTTGTTCGACGGCGCTGCTGCCAATAATACTTTCAGGAGAGCGACAACATATTGGCACAGATTTGGCAGAAGCAATCGATAAAGTTCTTCCACATTATTCATTTCAACATCCTCTTTTCTTGAGAATAAGTAACGATTGAAGTCCTCGTCTTGCGCGGCCTGAAGTTGACTTCAGATAAAGGGGAAGCTTCTCGTAAAGATTATTCCAATATGAAAACAACGGCTCAGTTTTATATTCACATCATTAAAAACAGCAATATATGTTTACACTATTCAATGCCGGCACATCTAAAATGCATTTCACCGAAGGATTGGTCTGTGGGACCTACAATAATGCATATTGTCTACCTAGGAAATGCGTTCCGCCACTCTGAACCGACTCCAAAACCTGTGAATCACCACAGCTGAATAACTACATATCAGTTCATGATGGGGGTACTGGAGGTATAAAACTTTCCAACTGTCCGGATCTTGTCAGTAAAGAGAATGTGATAGGGACATACCTGGATTTCTCCTATAGACGTGTACAAATGTTTCCGCAACGCTTCCACACTTCGATGAATTGGTGGTGGCAAGGCGAACATTGTCTCAAGGTCGCCGGGCAGTTGATATTGGAAAAACTTCTGCCTGTAAAAGAAAGGCTAAACATTCTTACGAACAAATTAAACCAGAAAATGAAACCAACCGAACCTTTCTTGTTGAAGGAACGCTTCAATTTCCTGCTTCGAGACTTTACTTCGCCATGGCAAACTTCTCTTGGGAGGTTCTCTAGGCATAGGAGAGCCAGCACGAGGAGTACGATCACCACTGACTACTTGCCGCAATTCAGGCCCTAAAACTTCAAATCCAAAACAGCGACAATCTCTCTGGCTTTCCTTCATAAAATCACCTCGTTTAGCTGGAACATCTGCATCTGGCATATAATCGTCACTGGCTATTGCTCCTGAAATTTTTGACCTCCAAACTCTCTTCTCTATTAATGGATCAAGTGCTTTAACTACCTATATCGAATTCTTCATCTTTTGCTTCTTCACTGCCAGCGTAGGCCAACTGTCGAGCCATAACACGCCCAATGGGAACAATACGACGAGCTGCCATTCTAGCCCCTTAATATGGCTAGCAATGTGGAACCATGGCTCATAAAAAAGCACTCAAAAAACTTATTACTTAATATCTTATCATTTTTTCAAACGTTTTCACACACCTGCTTCACCGTCATTGATAAGAGTGGCAGGCAAAGAAGATGCGACAGCTATAGTGTTCTCCATTACTGGAAGACCGAGCGCGGCTCTTTTTGCTGCTTTCATTGCGTCCAAATGGCGCCAACCACCTAACGTCGCAAGCAGAATTTTCCATATAAGAAGTAGAATCTGAAATGTGACTGCTTTCAAAACGCGATATTCGGCAAATGTTCAGTGCAGATCAAAATATGCCAATAAAATAGAGAGCGAAAAGTATGCATAAGACTGAGTAAAACATTAAAGAGAACAAACTTTTTTGATGGGGTAATGGGGCGAATTTCCTGTATAGAACGGGGGGAGCATTTCAAATAGCACGAGAAGCAGCGGCTGGCCCACATGATCGAGCGGTTCACCTAGAATGGGAAGTATGTATCTCAATCTCGGAACCACTATGAAGGTTTATTGAACTCACTCAATTCTTCAAGAAAAGCGGTTGCTCTGGCTTGCAAACTGGGATCATCAACTAGGAATGTGTTGGTAAGTTCTTCGTTACGAATCAATTCCACCATATGATACAAAGCCGACAACACTGTTCTCATTGCTTCGTTGTCTGCCATGGTAGCAGCTCGACGGTTCCGTCGATCTGGAACAGATACGCATCATGTAAAGAAAAAAATCCATGAAATCATAAGATGGAATTGAAATATGCTTTACTTTATTACTATAGCAAGCGCAAAGCTTATTCAATAATTGTGAAAGCGAATAAGCCAACAAGTAAACAAATAAATAAGGCAGTTGTCGTACTCACTGTAGCTATGGGCGCACAACTAAAACACTTATAAAAGTCCTAATTCATAGAAATTCATAAATTCTCTTACCACTTTCAGCCAAATCGGCACTACTAGGACACCGACTGCCTCTTGAGCTTGCCTTTGATTCGCGTCCCCCTTCAGTAGCCAAGCCGGGACCGTTGTCAAACGGTTCACATAGCTCCGCCATAAGAAGTGTACAGAGTGCCTAAATCAGGTAATTAGATTAAGGAATTGTTAATCATGGTACACTGCGTTGACAGGNTGACAAACGTATTGCTGATACTGAGATTTCATAGTGTACAGTAGGAGATTTTCTTAATAATTGGCTATCATCGACGACGTATTTGAGAGTAATCCAGTGAACAATTCTATGTGAACAAAACTATAGTTTCCGAAGTCATGGAGAGAACAATAAGGAATGATTGAAAGAGAGCAGAGCAGCAGTGCAGATTGAAGCAGCAGAGGCCAGACAAGTTTAATGAAACACCTGAGGGAGCTTCGCAGGTTATAATAACGATTTGACAAGATTTTCACGCCTTCAAATAGAACAGTCATTGTCTTCGGATAAGCAATCGAAGGCTTTTGTTCACTGTTCATTTCGACAGCCACACCCGGCTGCTTCAAACAGTTCATCTGAGGTGGATATTTTGTTCCTTATTTCTCCTTTCTGGGACCAGCCGTGTTCTCTCCTCGATTAGGAAACCTACAACGGCAGACCCCCTGTGATGCAGACAAGTCAAGATGTTCGGAGAGGAATCATAATTCCGTTTCGATCGGGCTAGGGAGGCTCACGGGACTTCATGGCTCTGCGATAGACAGATGTAGACCTCACACGCATAAGCGCGACAGGAAGCTTTCAACTGGGTGACAGGCGACAAGCGAGAGGCAGCCAGGAAGAGTGGCGATTCGACGGTTCAAAGAAACGAAAATTCGGCTAATCAAGGGTTGCTAATCCTGGTCATTCTTGAATTTAGAGTGTTCTGAAGCCATCCATTTCTCATTGCATTGTAAATTTGACATTTGTTACTTCTCCACAGCGACCGTGTAGTTAAAAGTATGGCACTAGCCAAATATACAAACCTGATAGGCTCCTGCTTTGTGAGCGATATGAGCATTGAGAAATGCATTGCAAACACAATCCTTTTCATGACCACCTGTTCCTTTGTCCAGCGAAGTAGCACTCAATAATAAGCCGGCTTCAACATCTTCTTCGTCGCTGAAATCTAGATAGGCGCCCTGAAAACCATGAAAATTTAAAAAATTTCAAAAAATTTTTGCATATCACGGTGCTGATAGCAACGATTTCAGTATGAAATGAATCAATGAAAAATTTCAAAGGTAAAAGTACTTGTTGGTCATCATGTACCTGGCATGTTAACTCGAAATTCAGTCGAAGCTATTGATCTAGGTATTTCGGACAAAATAAACATGCACTACGTTCGACTTTCACCAGACTAGTGCAAAAAGTGGAACAGCTGTTGTAACACCATGACGTGCACTAAGATTTTTGTGCAGCAGAACGCGTTTGGAGACAAAAGACGACCCAGCTAGACATATGCCGACTTTTTTGAGTTTTTTTTCCTTACCAGAAAGGAACTTGGTTCCATACCTGTAAGATATATAAGACAATCCGAGCACTAGCCAGCCGCACATCAGGTTCGGCACTTTCCATTCTAGCACAGAGATCTTGCATAATGAACATTTTCTTCGCCTCTGGTAAAGGCGAAAAGTGAAAGGGAGCCGGAATCTAAAAAAAAAACACAATTAAAAAATCTACACGGTACTGCCGTGACTACACCACTGAAAACATTCGTTCTCAACTTTTACTCACTCCAATATTGTCGGCGTAGACCTTCCAACATTGAATGTTGCTAGCAAAGTCGTCCAGTTCGGAATAGGTATAGAGCTCGGACAGCTCATTGAGAAGAGTGTCGCAATCATTATATTCGAACTCGATGTCGGACTCGCCCTAAAAAACATACATGATGGGAGATTTAAGAAGGCTTCTAAATGTTTTAAAATTCAAAACAAGCTGAAGCCTTTACGAGTTCCCTTCCTTCAATCGAATATGAACATATGCTTTGCGGCTACCATTTACAATTTACCAAAGATTTTTGAAAGCTTTGCTCAACTTTTATGAAGCGTAGCGACTGACAAAATAGACACAACACAAAGGAATTTTAAAAACAAGCCTCTAAAGAGGCGTACTGTAATACCTCTGCACGTCTAAGCTCCCGGTAGAGCAACAGACAAATTGTGTTTTTTCTTGGTGGAACCGCTCTTTCTGGTGACCTTCAGTTCCCAGCAATAACTTCCCAGTCTGCCACTTCTGCACTCCTTTTCAAAAAAACTGTGGACCACGGCAATTTTTGAAGTAAACGCTCAAAAGGAAAATGCAACCGACACAAATATATCGCGAGTCAAGACTCAAGTTGAGTACGGTTGTTTGCATAGGTTTTGAAATATCACATAACTCAAAAACATTAATAAACGAAGGGAGAGTACAAAAAACCTACACCTACCATATCTATACTATCCGCACGGTTTGTAATGGCATCCGTAGTTGTTGTTCCATGGGAATCTTTAAGCTGTTTAAGTTTTACCAACAATGCCGATCGTCTTTGAGCCAAAGAAGACTCACTGTACTCAATATCTTCGGTCTGCGTTCCTTTTTTGTCACCGTACACTGTAAAGGCTGGAATTTCTTGGAAGCCTATGGCAAATGGAAAAAGGACAATAACGCCGCTGTCTAATTCCAGTAATAATTAAATCAGTCTTAGTGTCATTGTAAGCTCACCATCCTCTGCGAAATTTGGACGGACATTTCGCCTTAGTGCATCAACATCCTGATCCCTCTCATTTGAAGGATCAGACATACCCTGCAATAATATAATACTGGTTTCCTTCGATGTTTTTATAACAACTATCGTTCAAAAACACGGACAGGAAAGAAGTAACAAGCAGGAAGATGCAGTACAGGACAATGTGAAAAATAGGAGACGGTTCGAATCGATACCGCTAGTGATAACGCAAACAAATCAATAACGTTCAATTGCCACAGTTCATTTGCTTAGACACTGCTGATATGCATGCCCTCATGCGAACTGACAACACTGGAACTTGTTTTTTTTTTCGAGGCATCATCGAACATTTGGCTGCCCTCGGAGACAACACTTTTCAGATAGGCGTGAAGTAACATGCAGTAGTGCTAAATGCGGACAAGGCGCCGTGTTATTCGGAGGCGCACCAACAAGGGCGAGGATGATTGCGCTCACAGGGGTGGTAAACATCTAATGTTAACCAAGAAAAGGGGTTTTGAAAGTGAGAGGGTATCAGAGGGACTACTTGACCACTGGAATGTGTGGGCCAGAGTACCCTGGAACACTGTTTCGATGCGAGAAGCTACGAATTCTGCGATCCCCTCAGCTACGGATCCTATGATACAACCTATATGGATGTAATGGAAGCTAAAGACTGACTGATTTGAGGGGTTTTCTCGTTAAGCTCTTGTCCTCAGTATCTTACGAATGTGATCTAGCAGCTAACGATCGGTATGATCGAGGACGAGGGGGAATACGAGTCAATTGAGAATTCTCACCCTCCGTGAATGTCCTTCTGCATGCCTTCCATGATATATCCGGGAAAGAAGGTAGGCTCGTAATAAAGAAAATACCAAGTCCTTCAATGAGATCTCGATACAATTTATCGGCCATCATGGAGGTTTCTCCAACTCCATAGAACTGAAGGTACTACCTTAACAACCAGTTATACAATTACATTTACTTAAAGGGGAAACAGAGATTTTCCTGGAGGGGATCCGTCAGATTTCCTTCAAATTTACCTTTTTCCCAGCAGCTTTCCTTTTTTTATTGAATGACTTCTGTTTAGGGATCTACGGCTACCGTACTTTACTGCAAAAGTGCCAAAGGCAAGATGGTACAGGTAGTGTAAATCAAAATGGATTGTAGTTGTGTGGAAAAATTTGTTGAAGAAATGCCAAGAAAAAGGCGCATTCGACGGTCAGCCTTCGGGATGCGCCATGCGTCTAGCCTCGGACCGGGGACGTTGATCATTCCTCTGCTGTCGGCCTGTACTATGCCCTACAATGGAAGACGCTGAAGAACAACTCTTCGAGGAAATATGGTAGTGATCATCCGGTCTGGAAATGTTGAAAAGCTGATTCTACTGCATGAATCCCGATCGAGGAATCTGCATTACATAGAATTAAAGGCACAGTTCATGATAATTTTGAGGCACTCGTTTTTATTCGAAAAGCGTAAGTATAGATTGGGAATAGTTATTCGGTGGTGAACAAAGCGAGAGAATTCGCCGATTTCGGGGGAAATATGACTCCTCGAAAGAAGGGAAAATTGAGGTTGGACGAGAGTGCCATGACGGAAATAAGATGGAAGGGTATTTGGACGAGATTTCAGTTATTGCAATTGCACAAAGAGCTGACCACATCAAGCCAGCTCTGTTAGAACTGCCTTTTACTGTCGCTATGAATCATGACAAGTTGTTCGAGCTTCCTACATGGGTTCCCATGTGACCGGTGAAGCCTCCAAAATGCCGGTGAAACTCGTCTGAGGATACACACGGGCCAATCTTTAAGCCTTTATAGCTCCCTAACCAGACCGTTTTCCGACCTAATAGTGCCAGATATGGTATACACGGGGGCCTCAAATCCATATTGTGGGAGAATCTCAGAAACCATTTTTATTTATCGTGAGCTGTGCTTTCCAAGAGCTATCAAAGTTGGTGTGATTATTTACAAAGGTGCTGAGTCGGGACAGATGGGTTAGCTACTAATCGTATAAGCTAGGTATAAAATTCCGACTTGATACCCAATCGTGTTGAATGCAAGCTTCCAATTACTGTTGGCTGTTCAACCAGTACGAACTACTCTTGTGGGAGAATTAAAAGTATTGGCTCTAGTTGATTGGCATTCTCAACTCGATATGAGATGAACTTCACGAGCCCATGAAATTCTGAACGGAATTCGAATGTATAGAAGTACTCCGAGAAGGATCGACCAATACGGATCGCACACAGGCATAATTGGAAAATTTATTACGATTACATAGAGATCATTTTGAGGAAATCGTCTGAGATCGTTCGGCAGCTGATGACTTGAAGTGAGACCGGAATACCTGTGGCTGTGAAGAAATGCTGAAATTCTGAACTTTTTTGAACGAATCACTTGTGAGTAAAATAGCCATAGTATAGTGTTAATTGAGTGGTGCACCCACTTCTTTTATGTTTTCACAATGTGAGGAGGTGGTGTGAAGCTAAATGACGCACTCATATTCCGGGGATCGCATCCTAAATTGATAGCCTCCAAGCAAACCGAGCTTTCCATTCTTCCGAGGTCGGTTGATTGGTATGAGACTGTTCGGAAGCATAAAAACCCTGACATTTACATCGTTTGACCACCACATGTCATTGTATAGGCCACATACGCATTCACGCATTCTGAATGGAAGTCGAGTGTGGGGCGGACCCTTCTGATGGGGGTGATTGTAGTCAAAAAATTTGGAGGTTCACAAAATTACGACAGTTCAAACTGCTCACTTCATGCTCACGCCGATGAGCAGGCCTCAGTTTTACCGCACCTCCAAATACCACCGCGAGCAGGTGAAAAAACCCCCTTGAGTGCCCTACATTTCACATTACTCAAAAATTACGCTTTAATGTGAGAGCGGGTTATACTGCATAGAAAATCATTGAAGAATCTACGAAAAACCTAACGGTAGTATACAAGATATAATGTTGGTTCCTAATAATAGTTGACGTCAACTCTTTTTTTTTATTTGTTACTGGCACGCGGGACGAGACCGTTCCCAGCTGAAAACTTGGTGATTTCCAAAAAAGAGTGGTTATGATCAAAAACATAAAAAAAACATGGTACAAAATATTATTCCGCAAATCCTGTGGCAATACTTGAATTTTCGCCAAAGTTTGTGGCTATTCGAGGTCATTCTATCTTCGGCAATGATAAATTCAAACCTAGGGTGTAAAAGCAGAATCTTCATGAAAGGTATTAATCTCTCTGATGGATACTACTAAACATTAGTAACAAGCGCGATCTCGTTAGGCCCCTCATTTATCGTGTTCAACCTTTCCTGGACAAGAGCTCCTATCGTTGCATCCATAGCGATAATATGGACAAAGTACTCGTTCAAATAAATCGACGAGTGACAAATGACACCAGAACACATGGCATAAAGCAGAGCACCATTTCGCAGGAGCTTCCACCTATCGAATAAGAAAACCTATTGAAGGAAATCCAATAAATGCTCCCTATTTTTCAAGAGATTTAGATAAATCATAATTTAGTGCAGTTCCCTCCCCTGATGGTGCCTGAGCTTTTCCAGTAGATCGTCAACAGTTGTTCCAGTTACCAAGGTCGTCCACTGATACAATGTGCACTGTTTTAACTTGACTCTGAGGATTTTGCTTTTGAATAATGTGAGTTTCAAGCAATTCCCTGACAATGTGACACTGAGGGCAATTCAATAGCGAGTTACACAAGAATGAAAGCAAGAAACCTCTGCAAATGCGTTGAACAACAGCAGAATGCAATCCATGAGGTCGAGAACTGGAGCCATTCTACTCTGCTGAAATAATTGCCGTCTAATGGCCACGGCAGAGAGCCTAAAGTTAAAAGACTTCTAGAATAAAGTTGTAGTCACTTTTTGAAGGAACTGCTTGTCGAAATTGGAACTGCTAAATCGAATACTGATTTTATGAACACAGATATCCTCTTTCCAAATGGTAAATCAAACAAAAAACACATCGTGTCAGCTATCTCTACTTGGAATACGCCACGCACTTCACATTGATCCAGGAACATGAATGCTTCCCAATGCGTGACTAGTCTATGCAATAACCTACTGCCATAAGCCGATTTTTATTCATCTGTAACGTCATGTGGGAGCAGAGTCTTAGCTCACACCACCAGTCCAGCAAGTTTGGAATATGGGTCTAAAGTTATCCTACAACATGCATGAAGGCACTGTGTGAGACGCTGGTAGGATCCCGAAAAATAGAGCGGTTAGGTTCAGGAACAATAATGTCAGACGAGTAGGAGGCATAAAAGCCCTGGCAGGGAAAGTGAAAATACAAAGAACTCGTTGCCTGTGAGAGAAGGCAGTAGAATCAGTATACATGTGCACAAACATCTGGATAGTGAAGGCAAAAATTTAGAGTGAGGGTGCCATTATTAAAAATCAGCTTCAGTATGACACCGTCACTCTTTCCTTCTGCTGCAGATGAGCGAATAATCTTTTCAGATATATTCTCACCACCTCGTATCATATCATATCATATCATATCATATCTGTCGTATCGTGTGGTATCAAAATGGAACAAAAGTCAGTGAACTGTTTTTCAGTACGAACAGGCGTGACCATCACTCCCAGAGCAACCAGATTACTTTTCTCCAGCCAATTCTACTATACTACTGTACTCAGTGACTAAGGAAATTCGTAAATGGATGCCTGTAGCTTTCTGAAGCAACCATCTGAAGGTTACTGTCTACGATACCTTTTATTTCCTTTCCAATAACCAAATACAGTAAGGCATTAAAAAACTCTACACTCACTTCGCCTTTCCATGATTCAAGGCGAGTCATACTGGCCAAATCAATTCAAATCGGATTCAGCAAAGCGTTCGCTTCAGCCAAATATCTACAACGGATCCAGAGTAGGTAATTGCGGGCTTGTGGTCAAACATCCAAGAGAACCTAGTTGGATAGCCATTATATTTTAAAAATTAATCCGGTACCCCTTGCTTTCTGGCTATTGTCAACTCTATATTAAAACTTCAATAATTCAAATATATTATAAGTAGTGAAAATAATAAGAAAGGTTAGAGC